GGATGGAAAGAGCAGATCCCTGGGGTTGGAGAGAGTTCAAAGGGAAACATCCAACCCCTGGGAAGAGCCTGGAATTCCCAACTCCCTTCCCATGGGATCTGAAATCCCTCCTGGCTTGGGAATGACCCAGGATTCCCAGGGGGATTCAACATTCCCAGTGCCTGGAGCCAACCCAGAGTGACTTGCCCAGACAAGGATGGAAAGAGCAGATCCCTGGAGTTGGAGAGAGTTCAAAGGGAAACATCCAACCCCTGGGAGGAGCCTGGAATTCCCAACTCCCTTCCCATGGGATCTGAAATCCCTCCTGGCTTGGGAATGACCCAGGATTCCCAGGGGGATTCAACATTCCCAGTGCCTGGAGCCAACCCAGAGTGACTTGCCCAGAGAAGAAGGATGGAAAGAGCAGATCCCTGGGGTTGGAGAGAGATCAAAGGGAAACATCCAACCCCTGGAAGGAGCCTGGAATTCCCAACTCCCTTCCCATGGGATCTGAAATCCCTCCTGGCTCAGGAACAACCTGGGATTCCCAATTCCCAGTGCCTGGAGCCAACCCAGAGTGACTGGCCCAGACAAGGATGGAAAGAGCAGATCCCTGGGGTGGGAGAGAGATTAGGAGAAACATCCAAGCCCTGGGAGGAGCCTGGAATTCCCAACTCCCTTCCCACGGGATCCCAGGACTCACATTGTTGATCATGAGGTGCATAATGGTCTTTGGCATCAGGTCCCGGATGGATTTGTTGATGATCCCAACGTAGGAATCCACCAGATTCCGGATGGTTTCCACCTGCCGCTCCAGCTGCGGGTCCATGGAGAAGGTGTTTTCCTGGGCACCATCCTCATTCTCAGTCTGTTCCGGGAAAAGAGGGAACAAATCCCTGCTGGGATCCATCCCACCTGGAAAGGAAACCCCCCCAATTCTTGCTCCACCCTCATTCCCTTCCCCCCACCCCCTCCCAACGTTGTTTTGGGAACGGAGTCGATTCCACAGTTGGAAGTTTCTCCTCTCCAAGGAGAAGAGCAGCATTTCCCAGTGTACCCAGCAGCCCACTGGGACACAATGGGATCAAGACAAGAGATTCCCAAGTCCAGAGGTTCCTCAGGGCTGCTCGGGGGGGTTGGGACAAGGCAGGAGGAAACATTTACTTGGTCTTTCTCCGGATAAACTCCAGCCCGGAGGAAAGAGGCTTTCCAGCTGTCCACGTCCTCCTGGGAATCACAGGCCAACTCGATCTGTCGGAGATCCTTGTAGACATTCCTAGGGATGAAGAGTTGGGAATGAGGCCTGGGAAGTTCTGGAGAAGCCTCCAAGACCCTGGAAACACAAGGTCTGGGGAG